ACTGAAAATTGGTCATAAGTCATCTTTTCCCAGTGCTGTTGTAACTCTAAACAATCACTAAACAAATGGTTTTAAGTCAAGGGCTATTTATGCTGTGAAATTCTCACTGTTGGCTGAGAATCATAGGATATGTGATAAACTCATCTAAACCTACTTAGAGAACATCAGTTTGAAGGAAGTTGATGTAATTGTTCACTAAAATCTCCAACTTAGGTTTACTACGCAATGTGGTGCAGTCTAATTCACGTTCACTGTTGCTTCTGTTTTGTGCCACATTGGAGAAATAATCGTGCTGGAATTCTTTGGAAATTGAGTGAGTTCCAAGTCCCTCATCTTTATTCAGTTAATGGCTTCTCCCACTCTTCTCCCACCCTCACCCCTCTGCTAGAGTTTGACATGTTTTGCCAAGCAATTATAAGTGCTCTGAGGTTGTGGGAAAAAGGAACCCCCTTGTCAGCCGAACTGCTGTTCTGATAGCTCTTTTGTGTCGGCTCTTGGTCAGTACAAGCAAGGCATGCTAAGTTTGGTATTCAACAAACAGGATTCAGCCTGGATACATTTCTTCCAGCAAAAGATTGTGTTATCACTCTTGATTCCAGCGCAATCTGCTTTAAGATACCAAAGTGTAAAAAACAGACCTTTATTCCCAACAGACTTGCCTAGTTTGTAGCCCGAGACTGGAGTTATTCTTTAGCTTGTTCTTCCAATCTTCCCATTTATATATCTGATTTTCTTTTAGTTTACTAATCCATTATTTCAATCTAATCTTAGGGAATTTCTCCATTTCCACTACCGGTGTTAAAGGAGAAATTCCTGGCATTAGTCGGTATCTTCCTTTATTCCATAATTCTACCAAAAAAAAATTTAAAGGAATTTTGAGTCCTCCTAGCAATTTTTAAAATATCCTTTTTAAACCAATTTGTTTCTATGGGATCACCTATTTCCCTTAATTCTTTCAACTCCATATCCCTCCATATTAAATCTCTAGTTACTACTATAATATTTGGGACCACCTTTAATTGATTAGCTACCCAATAATTTCTAATATTTGGAAGACCAAGTCCACCCTTTTTTATTTTATTTATTTGTTTGTTTGTCAAATATGTACAAGGTGACAGGTATAAGCATTAACATAAACAAAGGAAGTAAATACAGATAAATAAATAAATAAATAAGTAGAACAGGGACAGTAGGAATGCTGGTTCCTAGAATTGAGAGCTGGATTTTTTGACAGGAAAGCCTGGAAGCCCAGCTCATTTGGAAGCGATGGGATTGGAGGACAATGGCTAGAAGTCAACTGAAATGGTACTTTTCTGCTGTAAATAGCTGGAAGTACTAGTAATAGTGTTGGAAGGGACCTTGGAAGTCACATGGTCCAACCCCTTGAGCTTGTAGGAGACCTATACTATTTCTAATACTATGTCTGCTGCACATGAGAAAAAGGAAGGCTTTTGAAGTGATAGTTAACCCCTCTGGTCTAGCTTTCTGTGGTCGTCTCAGGAGGAGAGGAGTAGGAGAAAGGGAAGAAGAGGGAAATGGAGAAGAAGAGAGAGGAGGAGAGAAAAAGGGAGGAGAGGGAAGGGAAGTAGAGAAGGGAGAGGAGAAGGAGAGGGAAGTGGAGGGGAGGAGAGGAGAAGGAAAAAGGGAAGTAGGGGGAGAAGGGAAGAGAGGGAAGGAGAAGACACAGAAAGAGATGGACCATTGTAAAATGGGGTAGAATATGGTTTATATGAGAAAGGAAAACATTTTTTTCATTTTTTTTCTTACTTGATGGTCATATATCCACATATATCACAATGGAAGTTAATATATGTTATAATATGATGAATGTTACATAATATATGTTATAATAAGATTGATGTTTTCGCATATTTGCCTATATATTACTGCATATTTGTTTATATATATAAATATAGGATTATAATGACGATGTTTGTATGCTTGTATGTAGGCTTGTATGTTAACATCTTGGGCATCTAGAGAGCACACTGCTCACCGTAGAAAGGAAATGTATGATATAAAACAATAAAAATATTTGTTTTTTAAAAAAGCATCTCAGGAAAATGCAAAGCTGAAAACTTATTCTTCGTTTTAATCACACCTCGTTTAAAAAATCCCTATTCTCAGTGACTCAGTATCTGATTTTCTATGGTAATTTCCCAACCATATTGCTATGTCCCAGAGCTGATTTACCATGGTTATTTTTAGGCAACAGTACTTAGGTTGCATTAAATATGATTAATGAGTTAGTAAATTGTTGACCTTGAACCTTAAAAAAGTCTACTTGCAGTTCTTACTACACTATATTGCCAAAAGTATTCGCTCACCTGCCTTTACGCGCATATGAACTTACTGTAAGTGACCTCCCATTCCTAATCCAAAGGTTTCAATATGACATCGGTCCACCCTTTGCAGCTATAACAGCTTCAACTCTCCTGGGAAGGCTGCCCACAAGGTTCAGGAGTGTGTTTATGGGAATTTTTGACCATTCTTCCAGAAGCGCATTTGTGAAGTCACACACTGATGTTGGACGAGTTTACATGGCCTACCACTTCATGGCTGAGTTGCTGTCATTCCCAAACACTTCCATGTTCTTATAATACAGCTGACAGTTGACTGTGAAATATTTAGGAGCGAGGAAATTTCACGACTGGATTTGTTGCACAGGTGGCATCCTATCACAGTTCCACACTGAAATTCACTGAGCTCCCAAGACTGACCCATTCTTTCACAAATATTTGTCAAAACAGTCTGCATGCCTAGGTACTTGATTTTATACACCTGTGGCCATGGAAGTGATTGGAACACCTGATTCTGATTATTTGGATGGGTGAGCGAATACTTTTGGCAATATAGTGTATCTGTCTTTCTTCTGGATATATCCCATATTTCCCTTGCCTCTTTTCCCCAGGGAAAGTAAGGAATGTTGATTTATTTATAGTTTTAAAAAACCATTTCATGATATGAAAATAAGTGATTTGGCAAGGAAAGTCCAATAAAACAGTTAAACCTATGCTGTAAAAACTATATGCATCAAGCAGTCCTCGGCTTAGAACCACAGTTAAGCCCAAAATTTACGTTGCTAAGTGAAACAGTTATTAAGTGAGTTTTGCCCCCATTTTATTTCTTGCCACAGTTGGTAAGTGAATCACTGTAATTTTTAAGATAGCAACCATGGTTGTTAAGTGAATCTGCCCCCCCCCAATTGAGTTTGCTTGTCAGAAGCTCGCAAAAGGTGACCACATGACTCCAGGACAACTGTCGTAAATATGAGCCAGTTGTCAAAAGCCAAATTTTTAATCATGTGACATGGGAATATTGCAACAGTCACTAAGTGTGACAAACAGTCATAAGTCACTTTTTTCAGTTCTGTTGTAACTCTAAATGGTCACTTAAGAAATGGTTGTAAGTCAACCTGTACTTTATTAAATGCTAAAGAGGTTTTAATGCTATAGCTTTTGGGGAAAGGAGCTGAAAATGAAGGACTAACAGATAAGTGCAGATGTTAAAATGTCCTTTCTTTCATTTCAAAATATAAGGTAGAGATCAAAAAAGCCAATGCCATTTGAGGAACAGGCTCTAGTGATTTTGACTTACCTGGACTATTTTGTAAATTGGAAAAAAAATGAATAAGATATATTGTGCCATGTAATGCATGATTTTTGCTGCCACGGAGAATCAGTTTTACATACTGGGACATAATTGGACATATTGTTATTGTATTATGGAAGCTTTTCAGCAAAGGACAATTGATTCCCCCTTCCACCATCTAAATCTTGAGTACAATGACGGTGGGATAGGATGGGATCAGGGGTGAAATTCAGCAGGTTCTGACAGGTTCTGGAGAATTGGTAGTGGAAATTTTGAGTAGTTCAGAGAACCGGCAAATACTACCTCTGGCTGGCCCCAGAGTGGGGAGGGAATGGGGATTTTGCAGTATCCTTTCCCTGGAGTGTGGTGGGAATGGAGATTATCTGTCTATCTTGCCCTGAAATTAGGCAGCCTTGGGTTACCCAGAATAGGTAAGGGATACATGCTGGCTGTCTGATTTGCAAATACAGGTTTAATAATAAGTCGTACCCTTTTTCTTCCATTATTACACTTGACCTAATCTTCCTCTATTCCATCTTTCTCTGTTGAGTTTTATGAATTCCTGCTTTGTAGTTATAGGCATACTGCTAAAATGGGAAACTCATTGCAACATTTCCTGTTTTACATGAGGTTCAATCAATATTGGTAGATAGTTGGCATTTAATTTAAAATTTTGGTGAAGTGGAAACATGCATGCACACACCAACACGTTTCAAATATTTTATGTAACAGAGCATGTAGTGGCCTGCCTTTACTACTGGGAGCCCTGGATATAATCTTAATGTTGGCATTTTGTCTCCTAGTAACGGGATAAAAGCTCTTCTAATAAGCTGCAGTTGTACAGTTAAATTAATAGCTTCAGTGACCGGGACTTCAATATTAACACTGAAGATTTTATCAACTTCTGCACTGTTTAATGCTATTAATTATGTTAGCTTTTTTAATAAAAGGAAACCAAAAATGTCAGGCTTCACCCTGCAGACAGCAATGGATCGGTCCATGTAGATTTTTGGGTAATGATTCAGAAATGAATCACATCTTCCACTTCCCAAGACATTTAACCTATAGCCATGGGGTTCCTTCTGATGTCAAATTCATCAAAGCAATAGCAGTCTGCTCCTGCTTAGTGTTTTTCAAGATGAGTCAAAGATGGCATCAAAACTCTATATGTATCTGACCTTAATCTAAATAAACCGAAATCGCAGTGATTTTGCAACAAGGGAAATTCACCAGTTTCCTGAGATTTTTCCTGTTAATGTACTTGCTTGTATTTTTAGTGTGTTAGCTTAAAATTTCATTCTGAAAAAATAACATCTCCAAATATGTGTTATATATTCTCTCCCTCTTTCTCCTTCCTTCCTTCCCTCCCTCTCTCTCATATAAACTGTTACTTTTTTTTCGCCCTACAGGGATACCAAGGTATGGTTGATGGGGGTGAAAATATTGCTGAAGTTACATGGGAGAGTGTTTCAAGTATCCTCCAAGTGGTAGGTACCAAATTAAGGGGAATGTTAATACAGATGTTTACCTGATAATATATTAAATCCGTGATGGTGAACCTAAGGCATGTGTGCCAGAGATGGCACATAGAGCCCTCTGTGGGCATGTGTGCCGTTGCCAGCTGCCCTTCCAGCTTCTTTCCTGCATGCTGAACAGCTGGTCTTCACGCCAAGACCAGCTGGCATTCGCATGCTGGAACCTGAAAGAGAGGATCTGGCTGGTGTACATGCATACAACAGAACCCAGTGCATACGCACTGACCAGCTACTCTCTTTCAGGTTCTGGCACTACAGTGCATGCCTGCACACTCTAGTTTTGGCACATGGTGCCGAAAAGGTTAACTATCACTGTACTAAATCATCCGTAAAAGACTGAAGCTAGAGCTCAAATAATGTACATATTTGAATGATCAAGAACACTTATTGATTCAAAGGTGTTTTTCAAAAGGCAACTGGACTGTTTTTTCCTTGAGGTAGAAGGAGAAGATGTTTCACTTCCCATTCAGGAAGCTTCAAAAATACATCTCCCCCTCCTTCTCCTCCTTCTCCTTCCCCTCCTCCTCCTCCTCCCCTAACCCTCCTCCCCTTCTCCTCCTTCTCCTTCCTCCCCTCCTCCTCCCCCTAACCCTCCTCCCCTTCTCCTTACTCCCCTCCCTTCCTCTTCTCCTCCTCCTCCTTCCCCTTGCCCTCCTCCCCCTAACCTCCTTCTCCTTCCCCTTTTCCTCCTCTTCCTCCTCCTCTTCCTCCCCCTTACCCTTCTCCTCCTCCTTACTCCCCTCTCCTTCTCCTTCCCCTTCTCCTCCTCTTCCTCCTCCTTCTCTTCCTCTTAACCCCTTCCTCCCCCTTCCCTCCTCTTCTCCTTCCCCTTCCTCCCCTCCTCCTTCTCCTTCTTCCTCTTCTCCTCTTCCTTTTCCTTCCCCTTACTCTCCTCCCCCTCCTTCTTTTCCTTCCCCTTTTCCTCCTCCTCCTCCTCTCCCTTACCCTTCTCCTCCTTCCTCCCCTCCTCTCCTTCTCTTTCTCCTCTTCCTCCTTCTCCTCCCCATTACCCTTCTCTTCCTCCCCCTCCCCTCATCTTTCTCTTTCCCCTTCCCCTCTTCCTCCTCCTCCTCCTCCCGCTTATCCTCCTCCTCTTCTCCCCTCCTCCTTCCCCTTTTCCTCTTTCTCCTTCTCCCACTTACCCTTCTTCCCCAAACTCCTTCTCCTTCCTCCCCTCCTCCCACCTTAACCTTCTCCCCTCCTCCACCTCCTCCTCCTCCACCTTCTCCCCTCCACCCACTCCTACTTCTCCTTTCCCTTCTCCTCCTCTCCCTCCTCCTCCCCCTCCTCCCCCTTTTCCTCCTCCCCTTCTCCTCCTCCTGCTTTTCCTCCCCCCCCCCCTCCTCCAATAAACCAGTCCAGTTAGCTTTTGGAAACGCACCTTTAAAACAACTATGATCATAGACATTAAGGCTTTCTGACACTATTGTTTTCTGTTGCTCTCCAATTTTTCCAGTGCCCTTGCAACAGAAGCTATACAACAAGTATAGAGTGTGGTGTGTTTTCATTCTGCTTTTCATTTGTCTGATTATCAGACCTTTTACAAAACTTAGTTATGCTGGGAGTTCTTTATGAATTGCTGTTGGGTTAAGGATGCTGCTCTTCAGCATCAGTTCCATGGTCCTTTTCTACCTGCTGAGGAATCAGTACGACATCATGAGAAGTGGCAACATTTTCAACTTACATAACAATTTTGTGCTGGAACAGTGTTCAAGTAATTAAAGACCATCAAATTGGTGTTGACTCTTAGTGACCACATCAGTGGTGGGTTCCTACCAATTTGGACCAGTTTGGCCATACCAGTAGTGGTTTGGCGGCCTGGATCACTGGAACCGGTAGCGACCAAGGCCTGCCACGCACCCAAACTGGTCCTCTGGGTGGCGCCTTAAGTGCTGCCATCTTGTTTTTCACTTCTGCACAGGCGCAAAACAATTTTATTGCACTGCACATGCAGTGCGCATCAAGTGCGCACGCAACACACCAGTGAAAAACCAGCAGTAGTGCCTACTGGAACCCACCCCGAACCACATGGATAGTTTTTCTCCATGATGATTTGTCCCTCCGGTCTTCCAACAGTGCCAAGAAATTTTATTTTGCCTCTATGGACAGGTAACATCACAATACCTGTGATTAAGCATTTGATAAAAGGAAATGGAATATTGCAATCATACACAACACAGATTCTCTGTTTCACAAGATTTGGCCAGCGCCCAAATTTCCTCCTGCCTCCTATTATAATCTTACTGTGTTTACACATCTACAGGGCATTCTCAGGGTGTGGAGGAAGAGAACAATAAATTCAACAAAGTTGGGAAAGTGGAAGCGGCAGATATTTTCATTTTTGAAAATAGGAATACCATGTAGCTTTGTAAGATACATGTGATATAGATTAAGATGAGTGCTGTGCCTGGGAGTTGTAAGAGTTGTAATTTCTGCATCTTTGGAGGGAGTTGTGAAAGGCTGTCACACAAAAGTTGTAAGCAACTTTTATTATTTGCCTATCATTAGCAATCAAGGGAGACGGTGGCTCAGTGGCTAAGGCGGTGAACTTGTCGATCAGAGAGGTCAGCAGTTCGGCAGTGCGAATCCCTATTGCCACGTAACGGGATGAGCTCCTGTTACTTGTCCCAGCTTTGGTCAACCTAGCAGTTCGAAAGCATGTAAAAATGCAAATAGAAAAAAATAGGAACCACTTTTGGTGGGAAGGTAACAGCATTCCATGAACCTTCAGGGTTCAGTCATGTCAGCTACATGACCATGGAGACGTCTTTGGACAGCGCTGGCTCTTCGGCTTTGCAGCAGAGATTAGTACCGCCCCTTAGAGTCAGGAATGACTAGCACATATGTGCGAGGGGAACCTTTACCTTTGTCTATCATTACTAATATAAAGGGATTTCCCCCCCCCCCCTATTCCAATGGGCCCTGAATATTGCTTATGGATGATTTATGGCCATTGAAATGAGATCAAATTTTTCTCAGCTGAACTTTTCTTTCTGTTTTTTTAGGGGGGGACTGTTATTGGCAGTGCTCGCTGTAAAGCTTTCCGGACTCGCGAAGGTCGCTTGAAAGCGGCCTGCAATCTAGTGAAGCGTGGAATCACAAACCTTTGTGTGATTGGGGGAGATGGCAGCTTAACCGGCGCTAATATCTTTCGGGAAGAGTGGAGTGGCCTGTTAGAGGAGTTGGCAAGAAATGGTAAGTTATCTGCTTGCTGTCAAAGCACTGAATCACCATTGCCACAAGAACTAGGTATGGCTCAATTTACAACTAGTTGTTTAGCAACTGTTTGGGATTATAACGGACTTACCTGGGGAGGAGACACTTACGACCTGGATTTGAAATTCTGATGGTCTCATGCCCCACCCCCTGATCATATGACTAGTTGCTTGGCAACTGGGCTGCAGCCATTTGCTGTCTCCTGACCCCATTTTATGGTGGCTTTCCTGAAAACTGGCATTTACTTTAGGTTTTTGGCAAAACCACACCTATAACAAACCATTGGTCTGCTTAGCAACCCTTGCATCCATTGCTTAACCATCACTACAAAAAAAGATTGTGAAATCAGATTGGCCCTGTAGCCATCCTGAGTCATGATTGTGATGGTTCCTTTATGGTTGCAATTAAAAGACTACCTGTATTTTCTGTACTGTTACTTCATTTCCCAAAGTGCTGGCATTGTCCAATCATGAGAATGTAAGCAATTGTTTCTAAACTCCACATTTTCAACCCAAGTTGTGACAAAAAGCAATTTAAACTAATGGCAGCTGCAATATCTAGTTAGTGTAGATTAGAACAAGCTCAGATATCCTAAGTAGGTGCCATCCTTGGTGGTTGGAGATGTGATTCATATGCACCCTTATGTGTTTTATAGTGTTGGTAATTTTTATTACATCAATTTTCTTTTGGTCTTTTAGTTGTTTAGTTTACAGGCCACAACCACATTTCCAGAGATTATCTCCTGCTTGGGTATTTTTATCAATTTTATTAGTTCTGAGTTTCAGCTATCTTACTAACCTCATTTCTCTACATAGTTCCTTGTCTGCAACATTATGAGTTCATTCAGGTCTTTAATTATACGTCCTATTAATTTTTCCTCTCACCCTCCATGCATGTGCTGAAATGCTTTGTAGCATTTCAATTGCACTGGAAATAATTAGTGGTTGCTCTGTCTGTCTGTCTATCGGTCTGTCTGACTCTATCTGCACCTATCTATCTATCTGTCTGTCTATCTGTCTGTATCTAGCTATCTAGTTATCTATATTGTCATCTCTCTCTCTCTCTTTCTCTCTTTCTCTGTATCTAGCTATCTGTCATTGTCATCTGTCTGTCTGTCTGTCTGTCTCTATCATATTTTAGAACTTCCCATCTCCCTCACAGAGGGATTCTGTGCTTTTAAATGTTCATTAAATTAATGTATGTAGTTTATAAACCGTAACTCCAGTAGGAACCACAGACATAGGTCCTTCAAATGTCAGAACAGCATGCTATTTGTCCCTGAATTGCCTGACAGAAGGCATATGCAGTGAACTCTGCCAGCATTGTCTTGATGTCTTGCTTTTGTTTGCTTTTATGAATGAATAGACTCATTGATAATGAAGCACGCCTTGCAAATGAAGCAAGAAAACAAGTTCCCAACATTGTGGTAAAATACTGTGTATTGTGCTCGTCACATGGCCACTTTTATTTACTCAGTTCCTATTATTTGCTTTTCTGATATTGCTACTTAGGAACTTCACAGTCACTTCAAATTTCCTTTTATTTACGTTTTTCATGTATCTCCCTGCAATATTTTCTTCATCCATTGATAAGCGATCTATCACTCACCCTGGCGAATAGATACAGAGCTTTGACTTCGATCTCTCTCCCCCTTTTCACTCTCCCTTACCCCATTATTGCTTTTCAGTCGATTGCCAAGTCTGATCACACCCAACATTGCACAAATACACCTTTTCTATCCTTCACTGGTCCATGCTTTTCTCATTTGTTGTGGTCTTCTTCTCCCTTGGCTTCTGTTGTCATTGGTTTCTAATTCCCCTCTGTTCCATTCTTCTTGTCCTTCTGATTACTTGTGTCAACCGCTTTATTTCATGTAGTTCATCCCTAACATCTTATCCGTGAAGTCTTTGGCTGAACGGATCTCCTCCACCCTTCATTTGTTAGGCAAATAAAGTCAGTGCACCTGTTCCATTTATCCTTCACTTCCCCCCTCTTTTGTTCCCATGTGAGATCTGGATGACTATTAAGTTTCCTGTTACAGATGCCCTCATTTTATACCAATAACAAATTGAAGCTGCACAAAACTGCACAAAGATTAATTTAGATTGCTTCACTGATGTAGGTGGGTGGACCTAAAGGACCCCTTTCGTTTCATATATTTTATGAACGAATTCCTTTTTCTTGAGAGAAAATAATCACTTGCTAGGAGAACAGGGAAAAATATAAATAGCCCAAAGAAGATGAATTAGGGGTGGCACTTTTATCCTTTGGAAGATTTGCTGGGCCTCATGAGTGTCAGAACTCTTCAGTTTGGAGAAGGATGGAGAGCACACCACGTACATGCTACATTTCTTGTTATTTTTAGCTGACTTCTATTTTTAGGATGAATGTTAAGAAATGGGGAAGCTGAACTCTGATACTGGAACCATCACAAACATATCTAACATTCACAGCCAGCAAAATGTCTCAAAGCTTGAAATTGTCCAGATGCTAGAGACTTTTTTCCCCTTTCATATTTTTCCCATTTTATTTCTTATTTCTGTAAGCTGTGATATCCCACACCAAGAAATCTATTGCAGTAGTTGAGTTCCAAACAAGGCATGTGCAAGATCTCACCCCGTGAAAAGGGAAAGTAAAGTTGACAGAAAGTTTTTCTTTCCTTTTCTCTCTCTCTCTCTCTCTTTGCTAAGCTTCCTGTTTGCCTGTCAGTTATGAAAATGGCAGTTCTGAAAACGCCCTCTATTGGTGGTAAGAAAAATGACTATGAAGATGAATTCTGAACCAGCTTTACACTACTTGATTGCACACGCTCTCTTGTCCTTCAGATCTTCAGCTTACAGGAGTATTTTTCCTCTTTGAAAGCTGTGCTCCTTTTGGTGAAGCTGGCATTCAGAACTGAAAGAACTTGTTGTCACCTTTAGACTTCATAAAAATATTTCCTTGTGAATGGAACCGTGAGAAATATCCATGATTTTCCATTTCTTGGTTAACATTGCAAGGGAGAGGGGGCATGTAGAAGTGGCTCAGATCCACCATCTGGGCCATTCTTGGTAAAAGCTTAACTACTTTCATTTAAACATGAATAATAGGGTAAAATGTGCAGAGTCCTACCGGTAAGTCTAAAATGGCTTTTTACTGACCATCACAGCATAAAAACTTATCCTTATGGATGTGAATCCATATGAAAGCATCTTTCATACAGTCAGTCCATTGGTCCACCTACACCAATTCTCCTTGTCCTTCTACTACTACTACTACTACTACTACTACTACTACTACTACTACTACTACTACTACTAGGCAATGGTTGTCCACAGTGGTGAAATTCATTTTTTTTATTACTGGTTCTGAGAGTTGGCTTGGTGGACAAGGCAGGGCAAGGATCCTGCAAAATCTGCATTCCTACCTCACTCCAGGGCAAGGATACTGCAAAATCCCCATTCCCTCCCCACTCCAGGGCAAGGATACTGCAAAATCCCCATTCCCTCCCCACTCCAGTGGAAAGATATTGCGAAGTCTCCATCCCCACCCCACTCCAGGGGATGGATACTGCAAAATCTCTATTCCCTTCCCATTTTTGGAGGAAGAATATTGCAAAATCTCAATTCACACCCCACTCTGGGACCACCCAGAGGTAGTATTTTCAGGTTCGTCAAAGTACTCAAAATTTCTGCTACCAATTCTCCAGAACCTGTCAGGACCTGCTGAATTTTACCCTCAGTTGTCCAAAGTCGAAGAGAGGCCTTATTCAAATCTGCTACCTGAAATTTTCCACACCATGTGTGTGTGTGTGGGGGGGGGGGGAAATACGGCTTCTCAGACATTACAGAAAGTACCTAATGAAGTTAATATTCATGGCATCCAGTCTATTTTTTTCATCCTTCCTAAAACAGCCAAAAGGAAATTACTATGCACAGCATGTAGTTTATATTCTTAATGAAAGTTCTAATTTACTTGACTCTTTTCACATCATGTCTTTATACCATTATACGATACTAAAGTGATATTTATGTATACCTTGAGACTGTAAGATCGTCCTAATAAGGCTGAAAGGGAAAGGATGTTTCTTGGGTACTTCTGGACGTATTATTACTTCTTTTTCTTTCTTTGTCTTTTTGTCTTTTCTTTTTGATCAGGTGAGATTGACGAAGATGCTATGAAGAGCTATGCTTCCCTCAACATTGTGGGAATGGTTGGTTCCATTGACAATGATTTCTGTGGGACAGACATGACCATAGGCACAGATTCTGCCCTGCATAGAATCATTGAAGTGGTGGATGCCATCATGACTACTGCTCAAAGGTATTTGATTCACTAAAAAAAATGTCAGAAAGTTTGGGATGACCTATAGAAAATTTAAGTAAAAGCTAAATGTCCACAGTTTTAAGAATTACATTGAAATACACCCAAACCTCATCAATCTTCTGCTAAAATTCCAAGGTAGGGAGGTAATAATAATCATATATCACATTGTCTGTGTTATATTTTATGGCTAAGAGAAGAACAAATGTATTTTTCAGACTATAAGATGTACCTTTTCCCCCTTAAAATAGGGTGGAAATGTTGGTGTGTCTTATACACCAAATGCAGCCATTTTTGGCCTCCTGAAGCCCCACCTCTGCATCACATTTTTACGAAAAATGGGAGAAAAATGAGGTATTTTTGCCTCCCCTCAGCCCCCAGAAGCATTCTGCAGGCTTCATCAGGGCTGGAGGGAGTCAAAAATGCCCCCCCTTTTGCCTTTCCCCAGCCCTGCTGAAGCCTGCAGAGTGCTCCTGGGGGCCAGGGAGGACAAAAACTTTTTTTCTTACTTATTTCTACAAAATATTGGTGTGTCTTTTCCATCGGTGCATCTTATACTCCGAAAAATACGGTAATTTCAATGTCAAGATGGACTTGTTCCTGAAAATAATATTCCTGCTTCATACTTTAGAAAACTGTGAAACTATGGCTTTGAGTCTTTTCCTGCCTTCAGTGGCCATCAAAACTTACCTTGCCACAGACAAGTTATACATAAAAGTTGTATTCGTAGATTGCACTAAGCCAAAAGATAATTTTCTGATTTAGTATAACAACTTGTAGGAATTAATTCATTTTGGTTTATAAACCATGGTATGTAGTTAGGTGTGAACAGCCTTCAGCAAGTCTGTTAACCATTTTCCATGGTTAAGAAATTTTTTGTTCATGAGTGTGTGTGTGTGTGTGTGTGTCTGTGTGTGTATTCCAGCATTACTTTGACTTGACACTATAGATATAATTCATTCCTTTTCCTGTCTAACACAGGATTAACATAAATAAATACCCAGGCAATGCCGGGTTATCAGCTAATCAATCATATACATCCCCTGAGAATTTTACCATGATGTTAATATAAGACCAAGACTTTAATATGCCTTCCATGCTGCCTTCTTCAAAAGGAATTTTAAATGCAACTATCCCTTTTTGTCTAACTGAATGAAAACTAGTAAAAAAAGAAAAAAAAAACCCAGGAATGTTTTTCTGCCCAATGCAAATTGGGGCTTCCTTCCTTGCAGTTCAAACCTCCCCCCAAAAATTCTTTGTTATGCAAGCCAAGGCAGCCCTGTATTTTATTATCTAATCTTCGTGATGTTCCACCATGGCTTAATGTGTCATTCAACCTGAGCTTTTGTATACATTCTGTTGCCGCTGGAAGCAGCTCTTTGGAAATTGGCAACCTTCGACTGGCTACGGAAGGATGGAAAATGAGCCCTGGGAGGCAGGCATAAATTCCTAGCAACAGCAGCTGAACCCTTTCAACACTTTCACTGGCATTTGTCACATCGTTAGAGAGGTGCTGTGATAGGAACATGGCATGCAAATATATGGCAGGGGAAGGAAGAACGAGGACTCTTCTAGTGCTTTTATTGTCTGCTGCATAGTTCTATAAGCCAGTAAGAAGAAACATGTTGGAGAAAATTTGTGTAAATCTTCTTTGATTTCCCGTAGTATCCATAACTGAAAGGTACCATGTTTTCCTGAAAATAAGATCCAGCCAGAAAATAAGTCCTAGCAGGATTTTTCAGGATGCTTGCAATATAAGCCCCACCCCCCAAAATAAGCCCCAGTCAGCCAGATGAAAGCATTTGAGTGCCATTTTCTCAAAAATAAGACTTAAACAGCAGAAGTGGGGTGCTGCCAGCATTACTGCCGGTCCAGTGCGCACAAAATCTATGTGGAAATGAACTCCGTTTGTGTGTGCATTTGCACATAAATAGGTCTGCACATACACAAAACAAAAATTAAATTTCTTCAATGAAAATTATTCTGTGCACGCGCAGAATGGTGCCGCCATAGGAGAACTGGTTCAGGGGTGTGGCAGGCCTGGGTCACTGCTGGTTCCAGTGACCCAGGCTGCCAGACCACTACTGGTTTGGCCAAACTGGTCAGAACTCCTACTTTTTTATTTTCTTTTTGTCAAAAAGAC